TTTCAGACTTGGCCCTGGCCAAGATGATGGCGCATGCAGAAAGCGGCGGCAAAATAGAAGTCATGGGGCTGCTGCTGGGCAAGGCTGTGGCCACTGCCGAGCCGCTGGGGCCCGGGACTCCGCCCGCGGCTTCGTTGCAGGGGCAAGACACTTTGTTGGCAGCAGAGGAAGGCGCTGCTGCTGCAGCAGCTGCAGCAGGAGAGGCTTGGGGGCCTCAGGGGCCACAGAAAGGCTACTTCGTTGTCACAGACTGCTTCGCCTTGCCTGTTGAAGGCACTGAAACGCGAGTCAATGCAGCGGAAGAAGCAAATGAATATATGATCCAGTTCTTAGAAGCAGCAGAAAAGGCAGCAGTGCAGCAAAAGGTCGTTGGCTGGTACCACTCCCACCCTGACTACGGCTGCTGGCTCTCCGGCATTGATGTGCGCACGCAGCAGCTGCAGCAGCAGCACCAAGACCCCTTTCTTGCCATTGTTGTGAGGCTTGCTGCTGCCCTTTTTCCCTGTAGAGTGCACTGCTGCAGATGGTGCAGCGCAGCTTGGGGGGGAAGCTCCTGGAACTACAGAGCATACGCTGCAGCTGCTGTTGCAGCAGCTGCTGTAGCTGCTGCTGCAGCTGCTGTTGCAGCTGCTGCTGCGGCAGCTGCTAGTACCTAAAGGCACTAGAAAGCAGCCGTTTACGTGGCCCCGATGCTCCGCTGTACGTACAGGTCGATCCAATTCGAACAATAAGCAACGGATCCATAGAGGTCAGTGAGCCCCCAGAATTGTTTTCGTCTCGAGGCAGATCTTGCGTAAAGTGATTTTCAAAGGAAAAGCGAAATGCTTGTAGCAGCTTCGCGATATATCTTAGCTCTTTTATTCATCTTTCGCTTTCACAGCATTACTTCTGAAATTTCGAAACATTCTCATATTTGTTTTCTCTGCCCGCGCATGCTGGCTTGCGTGTATTCCTCTGATATGCGATTAATTGAACACTTTCTACCCCGGTGTCACCGCTTCTATTCCACTATTGGTTTTTTAATGCTGATACTTCTTTGTTTTTTGCTGCTTGGGAAGGGGAATCCCTGCTTCTGTGTTTCCCCGCTGCTTGACCTTTCCTCGGGGAGCTAGCTGATCTTTGTTTTGCATGCAATGTGTTTTGTCGTTTTCGCACAATTAGAGACGCGTATGGTTAAAGCAAACTTTGCAAAATGCATGCATCGCGCAATTAAAAGGCTTCTAGTTGAAGCAAAGTGTGCAAGTGGCGCTTTGTTCAACTCTTGCAACTACGCAGCTGGGAGCGTTTCGGACATTTTTGCCGGGGGAGACGAGAAGGGACGATGAGGCAGAAGCTGGCGAGTCGCCATCGCAGTTGTTGCCTGCAGAGAAAGTAAACGACTTCGGGGCCCATTGGCAGCAGTGAGGCCTTACTGCATGCCTAACACTCTGCAGAGGCAGTCTATCAAGCACACGTGGAATTGAACAAAGAAACTTGCCATTCCTAGCCACAGAAATCTAGCCAGAGCTTTACAGCGGGGAGATGCACGGGAAATCGTGCACAGCTTCATTTTCGAAGCAGCAGAACAGCCACGCGTTGCGTATCCGCAGCAGAGCCGTGGAGTAGTGCAGCGAAGGTGTTGTGTATTAGCCAGGTAGTAGAGTCCAAAGGTCAAAGCCCCTAAACGTCTTATTACTGCAAGTAAAAGGAATATCAAGTCTTTGCATGCATAATATGTGTATGAAACCACAAGCGCCTGAGCTAATGATTTAGCTGATCCAGTTTTACCTGTTCGACTAATAAAGAACTTCCTAAAGGTCAATTTTTGGTTTTTAATAGACATATTATGGAAGAAGTGTCTGTATTTAAGCTCATGATTTGTTCTCTGTTACGTTAGAAACTGACATGTACTGGAAAAGCTCTGCATTTAAATTCAGGTTTTGTGTACTGTTGTCTTAGAGTGCTGCTGGCCTGTGCGGGCGCAGGTACTATCGGCTGCGGGTGCACTACTGCTGCAACTCTTTAAGTGCGCGGCTGCTGGAGGGAATGTGCAACGCCACTTGGCCGCAGGTGCTTGCGGGCCGGAGTCTTCGCCGGGTGCGACTTTGTGTCATTTCTTGTGTTGTGTTCCCTCAACTTAGTTATTTTCCGATTAGTTACACTCAGAAGCACTTTGGCCATTGTTTTCCTGCGCAATTTGCGCTTTTTTTCATATACAACTGGACCAACATGCATGCAGTTTTGCTGCCAATGTGGAGTGCCGCACAGCTCAAGCCTGGCAGCCACCACCAGCTGCAGCAGCCCAGAAGAGTATTACTTTTGGCTGTTTTCTACCTGGAGTCCTTTCCCAAACTCTTCGCTGTGCATTTGTTTTTCTTTGTTCTCCAAATGCAGAACAGGGCCCTTGAGCTGCGGCGTTTGGAAGCCATCGTGGTGTCTTGCGACGAAGCCATAAGCGCTGCTGCGAGCAGGTAATTCAAAATATGAAGTGTTGCTACAAGTCTGCATGCAGACGTCTTCGGTGGCATTTGTAAACACTTATTAGTGCCTGATTTTCGCAAAGATGTTCTCATGCCCGCCTGTCTGAGGGCTCAGTGTGCGAGCTTTTCAGAATGAATTTTGGCTTCGCTTTCGAGTTGCTGCGTTTGTAGCAGCAACTGGCGACGCTGTAGCCCAACTTCAATACTTATTTTGATGTTTTGAAAAGTTCGTTTTGTCTTTGTTTCCCCAGTCAGCCCGCGTCTGCGGCTGAAGCGAACGGCCAGGAAATGGGGGATGGCTTCGAGCTAGAAGACAACACTCTGGCTGCGGAATACTCGGAAGAATTGGAATTCGGAAATCAAAGGGAAAAAGATCTTTCTGATCGGCTTCTGAGCACCGCAGAGAAAGCAGCAGATATAGCTGTGCGCGCGCTTGGGGGTCTTGTTGAAGCAGCAGCTCTGGTTGGTTTCTTGCATCTGTGCATGCGACCTAATATGAATTTGTTTATGAATTGTTTTTCTCTCTTTTGGCTGCTCTTTGTCTTATCATTTAATGTGGATGCTATTTTCTGAAATGCGAATTGACACACAAGTAACCAAATAATGCAAATGAGCAAACAGATACCAGAGAAGCGCGTTCAACAATGTGGCTGTGTCTTTACTTATTTATTGGCTTCCTATTTTCGTATTTCGATTGCTGGCCGTGGGCCATCGTAGTAAACCCCCGAAGCACTGCAGGCGAAAACGCGCGGGGGAGTGTTCTCTGGTGTCCATTGCGATCTCCTATTAGTTTCAGTGGAGCATTTTTGCAATATTATTTCCATTCTTAATAATTACTAATGCAAAAGAGGACAGGGTTGCAAGTTTCCCGCTGCTTGAGCTGCAATCTAAACTGCATGTGACGCTTTCTGCTGCAGAGTGCCGTCTACCGGGACACAACATGGCGGCAGGAAGTCCTCGCCTCCAGCAAAAGAGCAGTAGGAGATAAAGTAGACTGAAAAGTTTTGAAACGAAGTTTCGAACTTTTTGGCTTTTAGTCCAGCGTTGTGTGTGGGCGGGCACAGATTGGCGCGCAGCAGCCCTGTGAAGCATTTGCTGCGTTGGGCCATTCGTCGGGTGCGCAGCTAGTTAGAGTTTAAAACTATTCCCTGCTTCTAAATTGCTGAGAAAACTTGTACTTAGACTGGGTCTGCAGCTTGCAGCCTCGAGATCACCCAGGATCAGCAGCAGCAGCAGCAGCAGCAGCAGCAGACTGGGGGCTGCTGGGTTGCTGCTGCTCGCCGTTGTTTCTTTACCTCACTTTGCACACACATATGTTCGCCGCTGGTGCACTTCCGCACCAGTGGTCTCTTTCAAACGGCTGGGGCGCTCCCTGTGGGGCCCCAGGCTCTCGCAGCAGGAACTGCCTGCAGCGCCTGCGCTGCTGCGGCTCTGCTGCTGTGCTGCTGCGGCCCCGCTGGCGAGGGGCTGCGGCAAGTGCGCAGCAGCGCAGCAGCAGCGCAGCAACACCCCGAAGACCTGGCGAGAGTTCGCGGGCCTCTCTAAAGAGCCCGAAAGCCAAGTGACCCGCCGGAAACCTTAACAAGCCCCTTTAATGAGTTGCTGAGAAATAAAGCCCTAGGGAATATGACAAACACTTTCACCACAACTCAACCTTCGGCCGAGACGCAGCACGCCCCCGCATGCACAACGCCGCAGCAAACAAATCCCTTCCGACATTGAAGAGGAATAAACACCGACAGAAAAACCCAAAAGAAATGAGCAAAAGGCGGATATATCATTTCGAAACACAAAGACACCTTACGCAAACAGCCGAAAGCGCGCACGACGGACCCTCAACACCCGCTGCGCTGGCTAGCTAGCTAGGTGGTGCTGGCTAGCTAGCTAGCTAGCCAGTTAGCTAGCTGGCAACGCAGCCGGACAGCACCACCTGGCCGTGCAGCTCGCTAGCTAGCCACCCAGCTCCCTCGCTAGCTAGCTAGCTAGCTAGCTAGCTGGCGGCTGCTTGTGGAGACGAGGAGGAGCCCAAGAGGAACGTGGGCGAGCGAGCACCACTTGGGGGGCGGAGTGTATGTACAATCTGCCCACTTCGTCTTGGGTGGCCCTCGGGCGGACTTAGCGCCGGAGGCGATCCCATTCGCCGTTTTTGCTGCTGCCGTTTCTGCTGCTGGCGTTTTTGCTGCTTTTTGTTTCGCAGTCGTGTCTCCGTAGCTTCTTCACCAGTACAGACAAACTCAGGCCTTTTCTGGCCTGCTCAGGGAGTGTCTTTGGGCCTCCCCGTCTTTTCGTAGGCCCCGGGGAGTCCGTACTCCGCGGGTGTACGTACACCTGGGGTGTACACGTACACCTCTGGGTGTACGCGTCCACCCTGGGGTGTCCACGTACACCTGGGGTGTACGTACGGCCTGGGGTGTACAAGTGCACCCTGGGGTGTACACGACACCCTGGGGTGTCCACGTACAGCGTGGGGTGTACGTACAGCGTGGGGTGTACGCACAGCGTGGGGTGTACGCACAGCGTGGGGTGTACGTACAGCGGGTGCTAGCGGTTGTGGGATTGCCTGTTGGGTGCAGCTTCGGCGGCCCAGCCGTTGGGCATTTTGGCCTCGGCAATGAACTCGGGAATGGAGTTGAGTTGAGTGGTGGGGGGTTTGCCCGAGCGCTTGGACTCCATGCGTTTGGATCGGGCGAACTCCAAAGTGGACAGGTTCCCAGTTTCCCAGCCCACGTTGACGTCGGGGGGGGCCCCCCTGAGGGGGGCCCCCACGGGGGCCCCCAGGCGCTTGGAGGGCTTCACCTCGTCGGACTCGAAGTAGGGACTGTCTCCAGTCTCGACGGAGGGTCGGAAGGACGAAGAGCGGCTCAAGTCCCCCCCGCCGTGACCACTGGTCTGGTCCGGTCTGGTCTGGAAGGAGGGCGGGGAGGGGCTGCAGAAGCAGTCGATCCACCAGGGCATGCTCACGTGTTTGCGCAGAATCAAACACCCCAGAAGTCCCAAAAAGAAAACAGTCACGGACCCCACTGCCACTCCGATGACCCAGCCTGGATATCCCTCCTCTCTTTGAATGTAGTCCGTCGTGGAAGTCACCTGCAGTCAGCACCCACGCCGCGCAGCTGTACGTACACCCCACCCCCCACTCCCGTCCTCCAGCAGCAGCAGCAGCAGCAGCAGCAGCAGCAGCAGCAGCGGCGCCCCTCCTCCCTGCGGCGCTCCCCGCGCAGCAGCAGCAGCGCAGACCTCGGGGGGCTTGATGGGCTCGATGAAGACGACGTTGATGGTGCCGCGGGTCCTGCTGCGGAAGCGCTTGTAGATCTCCTCCGCGGTGGCCTCGGAGTCCCTGCGGGCGAAGTCGCCCCGCAGCCCCAGCAGCAGCACGTGCACCAGAAAGCCGTGCCGGTGAATCAGCCGGTCCACCAGCGCCTGCTCGCTGTAGGCCAGCCCGCCCCCGAACTTGCCCATGCGGATGGGCCGCGCGGCCCCCGCGGCCTTCACCGCGTAGCCCATCACCCGCACGCGGTCGGGGCGCACGTGCCGCGGGGCCGCGAACGTCAGCGGCTGCACCAGAATGGCCCCCATGAAGAGGTCGTGGAAGGCGGCCGCGTCTTTGAAGTGTTCCGACGGCACCTGCGCGCATGTCCGCAGCGGCCGTGGCTCCGGGAGTCCGCAGCTGGGGCTACTTCAAACTACGTGCTAAGTGGGTCCACTGTTGGCTCTGCGCCGCACTTGGCTCCAAACAAGTCCCCTGTTGGCTGTACTTCACGCTCATGTGCTAAGCACGTACACACGTGGGTGTGTTCCACACTCATGTAATAGATGCGTCCACAGTTGGTTTACTCCACACTCATGGAATAGATACGTCCACAGTTGGGTTTATTTGGAACACAAACGGAAAAATAGTCCACAACTCCCGTATATCCAAACAAATATGCTGGACAAGCCCACAACTGCTGTTTATTTGAAAGAAAACATGAAAAACAAGTCCACAATTGCTCTTTATTTGAAAAAACACGAAAAGTCCACAATTGCTGTTCATTTCAAAGAATACATGTACAAAACAAGTTCACAACTGCCGTACATTTCAAACAACACATATCCAAAACCAGTTCACAACTGCCGTTTGTTTCGAACAAAACAAACACAGAACAAGTCCACAATTGCCGTTGCTTTCCGAAAAGAATACAAAACACAAGTCCAGAACAGTTGCACATTTCAAAAGATGCGAAAGCAACGAGTGCGCAATTCCCCCCACTTCGAACAAAAGCACAAAAGCAAGTCCCGCGTAGCTGTTCACTGCAAGAAACAGAACACGAACTGAACTGAGGCCCTGCTGCTGCTGCTGCTGGTGCTGCTGCTGCTGGGGGTGCTGGTGCGGGGTGGGCTGGACCTGGAGCAGCAAGTGCAAGTCGGGGTCGAAGCGGGCGCCGCTGCCCCCGGCGACTTCGGCGTACTGGAGGTCGTTGAAGGTGGAGTAGACAACTTCGGCAAGTCCGACTCCGGGGAGCGAAGGGTCGTCTTCGAGTCTTTGTTTGAACATGCTGGCGGCCTTGAGCGCGGAGATGAAGCCGGAAGAGGGTTTCTGGGGCGTGATGGGGTCCGCGACGCTGAGCTGTACGTACATCTCGTTGGCGTGCAAGTTCTGGTTGAGCACCAACACCACCCCCTCAGATATTTCACTTCCGAACTCGCCGCGCTCCACCACTGCAGCGGGGCCGCCGCTGCCGCGCGCCCGGTAGGCCGTGACCAGCACGTCGGGGAACTGCGCCTTCAGCAGCTCTTCGGAGCAGAGCCAGTTGGACTCGATCAGCAGCGCCATGCGGATCAGCACTTGGCGCACGCTCTCCAGGATGGCCTCCTTGAGGGCCTTCTCGAAGCGGCCCAGCTCCTCCTCCAGCGACGGGTCGTCTTCGCTTTTGCCCCGCAGCTGCTGCAGCAGGTCGCCCGCCACCAGCCGGCTCAGCTTCAGCACCAGAATGCCCCCCATGGGCCGGTCCGTCACTTCCGAGTTCGTCAGCGCCAGCAGCATCACCGAGCTCGTCGCCGACCGCTGCTCCTGCCGGAAGCTCCGCTCCCAAATGCTCATCCAGTTCCACACCGAGAGAACTGCACTCAGCGCACCGCACAGAGGGCTGGCCTCGCCCAAGTCCACACAAGTCCGCGCACTCGCCGCGAACCGCTCAGGCGCGGGGCACATTCGCAGTGCGTGCACGTGCGCCCCAGGCGCTGCGCACGCGACTGCAGCTGGGTGTGCGTACACCCCGGAACCTGGGGTGTCTGGGCAGCGCGAACCAGCGCAGGACTGGGGTGTCGGTACACCGCAAAGCAGCGCGAGCCCGGGGTGTCTGTACATGGGCGGTGCGCACTGTTGGAGTAGGAGTAGAGGACGTGGAGTTCGGAGATCTGGTGGTAGACGTAGCCAATGGTGGTGGTGCTGTCGTCGAGGCTCCACTTCAAGTCCGGAATGAACTTCAGCATTTCCGCCAAGTGCGGGTCCGCCTTCTTCGCGCGCTTCACCAGCGCGTTGAAGCTCTCGTAGTCCGTCACCTCCACCAGCCGCGGCAGCTGCAGCACCGCACCCCCCACCAGCAGCACCACCTCCACCACCACCTCCACCAGCACCACCAGCAGCAGCAGCAGCAGCAGCAGCAGCAGCAGCAGCAGCAGCAGCAGCAGCAGCAGCAGCAGCACAGGAAGAGGAGGAGGCGTCCGGCCGCCGTCCCCCGCGCCGCGCGCCGCGCCCCCCGCCCACCCCAATAACCCCCCCCCCAGCAGCAGCAGCAGCAGCAGCAGCAGCAGCAGCAGCAGCAGCGGCGGCGGACGCCCTCCTCGATGATGGCCTGGAAGCCGCAGTGCCTGGCCCTGTTGACGAAGCGGCGCGTGCGCTGGTTGGGCCCGTCGAGCTCGTTGAGCGCCACCGACTTCGCCAAAACGATCTTGAAGAAGTTCGAAGTCAGCGGCGGCCGCCAGTGCTTCGCCCGCGTGTACATCGGCCAGTAGAGCGCGCTGAGGAACAGCAGCAGGAACTGCTGCCGCCACACGCCGTCGCGCTTCAGCCGCTCGCAGTAGGACCCGTAGAGGATCCCCAGCGTCGCGTTCAGCTCCTCGGGGCCCGCTGCAGCAGCAGCAGCAGCAGCAGCAGCAGCAGCAGCAGCAGCAGCAGCAGCAGCGGCAGCGGCGAAGGTGAAGGTGAAGGTGAAGGTGAGGGTGAGGGTGAGGGTGGGGGAGGGGCCAGACACGGGGGCGGCGGGGCGCGCTCACGGCGCAGGGCAGGGTGCCGTCTTGCTGCTGCGGGGGGCGCGGCGGCGCGCGGGGGGCTTATTAGGGTTTAGGGTTTAGGGTTTAGGGTTTAGGGTTTAGGGTTTAGGGTTTGGCGGACTCATGGCCGGCACGGGCTTTCCCACTTCGTTGTTCGTGGGCAGTTCTCGAGGCAGAGAACCTGCAGGGACTTGGCTGAAAAAGTCCTCCGCAAAGTCAAACAAAGGGCCCCCTTCCACGCCCCCGCCCACGCGCTGCAGCTGCTGCTGCAGCAACGCAGCAGCAACAGCAGCAGCAGCGGCACCAGCACCAGGCGCCTCAGACCCATCCTCTCCTGCGGACGGGGATGGCGAGGCTGACAGCTCAGGGCTCACTCGCGGCAGCAGCGGCGAAAGAATTGGGAGCACCAGCAGCAAAACCACCAGCAGCAAAACCACCAGCAGCAAAACCACCAGCAGCAAAACCACCAGCAGCAAAACCAGCAAGTCTCATTTGAATGCTCTGGCTCACCTGCGCCGAGTCCTCGGAGCCAAATGCTCCGCAGGGAATCCAGAGGGCAGCAGCAGCAAAGGCCAAAACCCACAAAGGACCCATCTTCAACGAGCCCCTACAGCGGGACCCACCTGCTGCCGCTGCTGCTGCTGCTGCTGCTGGGGCAAACGCTGTCTTGGCAGCAGAAGCCGCTGGCAGCAGCTCCCCAGCGCTGCTGCTGCAGCAGCAAAGCCCTGCGGGGCTCCGCTGGGGGCGGCCGCAGCCGCCGGCGGGACCTGTGGGCGCTCCAGCCATTTGCTGCTGGTGACCACTGGTCTCCTCCTCCTGCTGCTGCTGCTGCTGCTCCTGCTGCTGCTGCTGCTGCTGCGGCACGCAGACCACTGGTCACGGAGGGGACTGGAACACGGGCGACGCAGCTGCGCTGCTGGGCGCGGCTCCCCTGCCCGGCACTGCAGCAGCAGCAGCAGCAGCAGCAGCAGAAGCAGCAGCAGCAGCAGCAGCAGGGCGCCGCCTTCTAAAGAGAAATGACCGGGAGCCAAGCAGCCAGGGAAGCCCCCAAAGAAAGCATCCCCAGGGAAGCTGAAGCTGCTGCGCTGCAGCTTGGGGCAGCCGCAAGCGCGGGCTGCGCGGCTTCGAGGAGCTGCTCCAGCTGCAGCAGCAGCAGCAGCAGCAGCTGCTGCAGCAGCAGTTGGCGGGCGTGTGGCTTGAAAAGAAAGACAGAAATGATCTGAAGTGCTGCGCCAGAGGCGGACGGCGAAAGAGAAGAATGCAGCTTTCAGGTGTCTCGACAGCTCGGCGCGGCGGCTGGGGCGCGCGCGAGCGGCACCAGCCGTCAGAAGTTTCAATTAGCAGAGACAGAAGCCTTTGCTGTCTTAATGGAATTAAATAAAGTTTTAAAAGTCAAGGAAAAATAGAGAAAAGGCCAGCAGCTGCTGCAGCTGCGGCACAAACAGACACGTGCTGCGCTGCTGCACTGCTGCGCTGCACTGCTGCTCCCCGCAACCCCTGCTGCAGCTCTCTCCTATTTACAAAAACAACAACAGACAAATAAACCCAATCTGAACTTGGAAATGGAAAGGAAAAACAACTCCTCTCAGACGCAGCAGCGAGCGAAGCAGCGCCGAGCCAGCGGCCACTCTGTTCAGCTTCCTGCTGCAGCAGCAGCAGCAGCAGCAGCAGGGCTGCTGCGACTCAGCGACACAAGCCCCCGCCCCCTGAACACCCACCAATTCACAAGATCAACGAAAATTCTAAATTGCTTTCTGCCCTTTAGGACAAAAAGCCAAAAGAAGCTTCCAAAGGCACCAGCTGCAGCAGCAGCAGCAGCAGCAACAGCAGCCGCCAGCCAGCAGCAGCTCTTCGTGCATCGCTCTGAGTCACGTCGAGGTTCTAGTGGACCAGCGCCGCCTACGATAAATCAGATCTTTTTGAATTTGCAACTTCAAAAGACTTTAAAACAAATTTATTAAATCCTTTTCCCCCATTTTTGCTGCTGGACATCCCGCAGCAACTGCTGCTGCAGCAAAACCACTTCCGCCCTGTCTCGTGGGGGCTCTAGAAGACACCCGGGGCCCCCCCTCTGCCCCTGTGGGGCCCCAAACCCTTAACAGGGGCCCCCAGGGGCCCTCGGGGCCCCCCGGGGGGCCCCCAGAGGTGCATGCAGGGGCCCACCCCACACAGCAAGCAGCGGGGGCCCCTGGGGTCCCCAAGGCCCCCGCACAGCTGAAGCTATAGGAGTTGGCTCTCTGTAGCTAGCTAGCTACGCTCAGCTAGCTGCAGCTAGCTAGCTGTGTCTAGCTAGCTGCGCGTGGTAGCTGGCTGCAGCTAGCTGGCCACGGCCAGCTAGCTGCAGCCAGCGAGCTGCAGGCAGCTAGCTGCAGACCGCCAGCTGCAGCCAGCTAGCCGCGGCCAGATAGCTGCGGCCAGCTACCTGCGGCTGGCTAGCCAGATACAGCTAGCTGTAGCTGGCTAGCCACAGACGGCTAGCTGCTGCTGGCTAGCTAGCTAGCCAGGCGGTATGCAGCAGTTAAGGAACTGCTGCAGCAAAGAGGCAGCCAAAGGCCTGGAACGGTACTTTTTGAACTTGCTGTCTGTCTTTATTTGCCCCATTTGATTTTAATTAAATTTATATTCTTTAGATCTTTTATTCCCCGGAGTTTCAGCACTTTAAAAGCAAGCTGCAGCAGCAGCAGCAGCAGGTGTTCAAACACTTTGCTGCTGCTGCTGCTGCCCCGGGGCCCCTTGGAGGCCCCGGGGCCTTTCGAAAGAAGCCTTGGTGGCATTTATTTGGCAGGAAATGAAATGCAGAAAATAATAAATGACAAGAACTTGGAAAGCGGCGCAGTGCTGCTGCGCACTTGAGGTGTACGTACACCCCAGGCCGGGGCCGCCGCGGGCGCGCCGGCGGAGCCATTGCAGCTCGACAAAAGTTTTTTGTTTGATTTGAAACTCAATTCCATTCTAAAGCCCCAAAGAAGGTCTTTCGGGAAGGGAAAAGAGTTTTAAAGGGCGAACTGCTGCTGCTGCTGCTGCTGCCGCGCTGCAGCAGCCGCTGCTGCAGCACCGAGCTGCCTGTACACCCCAAGCCGCAGCGCCGCAGCGCCACCGAGGTGTCTATACACCCGAACTCCCAGCAGCAGGCCAACCCCACAAACTAAAACTTTCCATTTCAATTCTTTTTGAACAAATGAGCCTCACGTGCGTCGCAGCCCGCCCCTCCCAGAGCTGTACATACACCCGGAAGGCACAAAAAGCCCCCAAAATAACTGTGCATGCATGCGCTCACTTGCCCTGCTGCTGCTGCTGCTGCTGCATCCCGTCAGCAGCAGCAAACATCTAGGAAGCCGAAACTGCCCACTGAAACGCACTGCAAACTCCACAAACCCTAAACCCTAAACCCTAAACCCTAAGTCCTACAGGCAAGGCAAGCTCGTTCTGGCCTTCGGAAAAAGTGAAGCGGCCCAAAAGCTGCCAGTCGAGGTCCTGCAGCTCTTGGCTTCTTTTGATCTGTTCACTGAGCGGCAGCCGCAGCACCTGCAGCAGCAGCAGCAGCAGCAACTCGGGGGTTTTGGTACTACACAAAACAAACCGATTGCAACAACCCCAAACCCTAAACCCTAAACCCTAGTGCAATTCATTCGCTGCAGCGCATTCACTAACGGAATCTTCCACTTCTATTAATTCGCCCGAAGCAGATTTGCCAGCTGCGCCAACGCATTGCTAAACCCTAAACCCTAAACCCTAAACCCTAAACCCTAAACCCTAAACCCTAGGTCTAAGACTGAGCCCTAGGATCCTCGCCTGGGGCCGCGACTTCTACCGCTACCCCTGAAGCCAGAGTTCCGCCGCTGCTGCACCTGACGCTGGGCCGCAAACCCTAAACCCTAAACCCTAAATTAGGGTTTACCTCGTCAGGGGCCCGGGCAGCTTGGATTTCAAAGGCAGCAGGCTCTGCCCCGTCCTCCGCCTCAGCAGCAAAGCGCTTCACTTCAGCTTCTTTTAAAACAGAACTTCCGCTCAGCAGCAGCAGCCAAGTTGCTGTTTCCTCTGGGGCCCCTGTGGGGTCCTTGCTGCTGCTGCTGCTGCGGCTGCGGCGGCGCCGCTGCCTGCTGCTGCTGCTGCTGCTTCTGCTTCTGCTGCGGACAAACAGCGGCAAACAGCCAAAAGACAACTTCAGTGACACTTGGGGAGGAAATTAAGTGTGGAGGTGGCGAGGGAAATGCAACAAAGACAGGTTAAGAACTAACAAAGTATTTAATGGCTAGCGTTTAGGGTTTAGGGTTTAGGGTTTGGTGCGCTTAGGTCCGGGGCTTAGGGCTCAACAGGGTTTAGGGTTTATAATGAATAGCAAGCCAAAAGAGAAGAAGCTCAAAACTAAAAATAAAAATAAATAAAAATAAGTAAAAATAAACAAAATAAGTAAAAGTAAACGAAGACAAATAAAAATATTTGAAGTCACCTTTTATTAATGAGCAGCTGCTGCCGGTTTTGAGGTGTCCATACACCTGAAGAGGGCCCCGAGATCACAGCAGCACCCTGCAGCAAACTTGTCACTTCTTGCAGCTGGACGGGAAGTCCCTGCTGCTGCCATTCTGGCTGCTGCTGCAGCAGCACCAGCTGCTGCTGCTGCTGCTGCTGCTGCAGCTGCCCTGGGGGCCCCACAGCCACCTGTCCGTACACCCGAAGACGCAGCACTGCCGTGCGGAGGCAGGCGGAAGGCGCAGCAGCAGCAGCTGCTGCTCCTTGACCCCGAGAAGAGGAAACAGGAGACACAGCAGCAGCAGCAGCAGCAGCAGCAGCAAATGCGGGACTCCGCACTCCTAGCCGCAAATGAGTCAAAGCCAAACCCCCACTGTCCACAGAAAAGTAGTTGTGGTGCGCCCGCAGGTTTTCGCCGCAGCCCAGCACCGTCACCCAGCCCGGTGCTGCAGCAGCAGCAGCAGCAGCAGCAGCAGCAGCAGCAGCAGCAGCGGGGAAGCACTGCGAATTAGAAGAGGCTTCTCGCCACGTTCGCAGTTCTAAGGACGCCACGCCAACTTCAAGGGCTGCTGCTGGAAGCCTACGTCTTGACCCAAAACCCCAAACCCTAAACCCTAAACCCTAAACCCTAGAAAACCCTTGTGACCGCTAAACCCTTCCCCGCTTCCCACTTACTGTCAGATTCTATCAAATCCAGACTTCCATCTACTGCGGGCTTCGCCCGCAAACCCTCAACGAAAAAGGGGGGCCCCATGGGGGCCCCCCGGGGGCCCCCAGGGGCCCCCTGGGGGCCCCCAAGGTCTGGGGGCCCCTCCTCTTGTGCTGTGAGGATGTCAAGGCCGTAGATAATGGCTGCAGCAAAAAGGGGACACAGCAGCAGCAGCAGCAGCGTCTGCAACTGCAGCAGCAAAGACCCCAAACCCTAAACCCTAAACCCTAAACCCTAGTTTACTTGGGGCGGCCAGCTGCACAATGGACCAATCCACACTCCCCACTTCGCCCTCCTGCTCAGCAGCAGCGACTTCCTGCAGCGCCTCCTGCAGCAGAAAAGCCCCAAACCCTAAACCCTAAACCCTAAACCCTAACGTGAAGCTTTCCCGCAGACCGCGCGCCCTGAGAAATACCAGCTGAGCAGCAGCAGCAGCTCCTGCTGCCTCCGCTGCCCACCGCCTTAATCGTACACGCACATTTGTACAGCAGCAGCAGCAGCAGCAGCAGCAGCAGCAGCGGACCTGTGCCTCCGCAGCAGAGGGCCTGCCCGCGAGAAGCCGCCTCGAGATTTTGCTGCAGGGGTTTCTTCGCCGCACTTCAAAGGCCCCCAGCTGCACAAACCGCAGCCTGCAAACCCTAAACCCTAAACCCTAAAACCCTAAACCCTCACAAACTTTCGAAGCTCAGCGGCTGCGCCTGCCTGGCGCCTCGTTCTGCTGCTGCTGCTGCTGCTGCTGCTGCTGCTGCTGTATAGTCTTCAGAGTTTATGCTGCTGCTGCCTAGGGTTTGCGCTCTGCAGCAAGGGAGAGAGCGGCGCTCTTAGGGCGTTCTAGGGTTTAGGGTTTAGGGTTTAGGGTTTGCGGATTAGAGCTGAGGGTTTGGCGGCTCACCTCCTGCGCCGCAAAGTTGGGCAGTTTGGTGAAGGCGGGCGGCAGGGCCTTGGAGAGTGCAAACACTAATTTAGGGTTTAGGGGCCCCGCAGCAACCAGCAGCATGGAGGCAGCAGCTGCTGCTGCTGCAGCAGCAGCAGCAGCAGCAACTCGCAACGCCCCCAAAGACAAACGCCGCGCCTGAGACCCTGCAGTCGACAGCAGCAAACGAAATCCTGCAGAGGCCGCGCGGCGTCCGCTGCGGGCCAAAGCTGCTGCAAAGCCAGGCTGCAAGCTGCTGCTGCTGCTGCTGCTGCTGTTGCTGCTGCTGCTGCTGCGGCTGACGGGCGGAGAGCTGCGGCGGGGCCTCTTGTGGGACCTGATCTCGGGAGAGCGGCCCCGTTGAAACGCCTGCTGCGGCCGCCGCTGCTGTTGCTGCTGCTGCTGCAGCTGCTGCTCCTGCTGCAGCTGCTGCTGCAACAAAAAACTGGGGCTGCTGGGAGACGACAGCGAGGCACTCCACTGCGTAGAAGGAGAAGACCCTAAACCCTCAGACTGCCTCCTACTTGGGGGCCCCTCTGGGGGCCCCCCTGGGGGCCCCCCTGGGGGCCCCTGGAGGGCCCCCTCTGGGGGCCCCTGGGGGGCCCCCCTGCTGTGCCCTGTTTGGGGCCCCTCTGGTGTCTCTGCCTGAGGGCTGCGGCTCATCTGCGGAACGGAGATTGACGAAGACACTGTGGGGTCATCGCTCAGCTGCTGCTGCTGCTGCTGCTGCGGGTCTGCTGCTGCAGCTGCAGCAGCAAAAGAGAAGTCTCCTGGAGGGGGGGCCCTGCTGCTGCGGCTAAGACGGAGCTGCGGTATGAGGGGACTTGTTGAAGAAGGCCTCCCAGAGGGGGCCCCTACATCTAGAAGAGATTCCTGCTGCTGCTGCTGTTCTTGCTGCTGCTGCTTCTCTTGCTGCTGCTGCCGCTCGTGCTCCAGCTGCTGCTGCTCGTGCTCTTGCTGCTGCTGCTGCTGCTCCCGTTCTTGCCGCTGCTGCTGCTGTGTTTGCTGCTCTTGCCGCCGCTGCTCCCTTTGCTCTTGTTGCTGCTGCTGCTCTTGCTGCCGCTTTTGCTGCGCTTGCTGCTGCTGCTGCAGTTGGTCTTGCTGCTGCTGCTGCCGGCGCTGTGCTTGCAGCACCAAATTGACAGCTGCAGCTGCGGCTTGCGGCCTCGCCGCGTTGACGGTAATATCCTTCGTGGCCGAGCTGCTGCTGCTGCTGCTGCTGCCACTGGTGCTGCTGTTGCTGCTGTTGCGGCTGTTGCGGCTGTTGCTGCTGCTGTTGCGGCTGCTGCCTGCGCTTGCGGTGGCCGGGGTGGTGCCAACAGCTGCTCTGCTCCTACTCCTGCTGCCGCCGCCGTCGCCGCCGCTGCTGCTGCTGCTGTTGCTGCTGCTGCTGCTGCTGCTAGGAGACTGCTGCCCCAGCAGCGGCAGCTGCAACCCCATTGCTGCTTCTCCACTGCTGGGCGACAGCAGCCGCGAGGGCCTTTCTAGGGGCAGAGCTGGCTGTGGGGCCCCCAGGTTTGCTTCGGGCCCTTGGCTGGCTGCAGCGCCCTGCTGCTGCTGCTGCTGCTGCTGCTGCTGTGCTGCTGCTAGCTGCGGCAGCGGCACAGCCCCCGCGTCGCTGCGTCTTGAGCCTTTTCTAGGAGAAACCAAAAGGGCCCTTTCTGGGCCCCTGGGCTCCCCCAGGGGCGGCAGCCTGTTTGCTGCTGCTGCTTGCTGCAGCATGACGCGCTGCTGCTGCTGCTGTTGTTGCTGCTGCTGTTGCTGCTGACCCTCCGGCGCTGTCTGAGCTGCAGCCCGCTCCCGCTGCTCAGGCTGCCGCCGGAGCTCTCTCGTAGACCTTTGCTCCTGCTGCTGCTGCTGCTGCTGCTGCCGCTGCTGCTGCTGCTGCCGCTGCTGCTGCTGCAACTGCTGGGGTTGCTCTACCGCTGTTGCAGCAGCCAGCAGCGCCGCCTCTTCTGACTGCTGCCATTTGGGCCGCTCTTCCTGCTGCCTGTGCTGCTGCTCGTGCTGCTGCTGCTGCTGCTGCTGCTGCTGCTGCTGCTCAGCAGAAGACCTGCGAGGCGGGGTCTGCCCTCTGCTGCACGGAGAAGCTGGCGGCGCTCTGGGGACTTCACACGAGGACTCGCGCGAAGCAGCAGCAGGCAGCAGCAGCACGGGAAGGGCTGCTGCTGCTGCTGCTGCTGCTGCTGCTGCTGGCGTTGCTGCAGCAGCAGCAGCTGCTGCAGGTGCTGCAGCTGTTGCTGTTGTCGCCGCTTCTCGCGCCGCTTCAGCGGGGCGCAAGCGGACTCCCGCCAGCTCTGCTGCTGCAGCTGCTGGCGTTGCTGCTGCAGCTGCTGGTGTTGCTGCTGCAGCTGCTGGTGTTGCTTCAGCTGCTGCTGGTGTTGCTCCAGCTGCTGCTGGTGCAGCTGGTGCTGGTGCTGGTGTTGCCGCAGCTGCTGCTGGCGTTGCTTCAGTTGCGGCTGGAGTTGCTGTTGCTGCTGCTGGTGTTGCTGTTGCTGGTTCGGGTGATGCTGTTGCTGCTGCTGGAGATGCTGTTGCTGCTGCGGGTGTTGCTGTTGCTCCTGCTTGTGTTGCTGTTGTTGCTGCTGGTGTTGCTGTTGCTGCTGCTGGTGTTGTTGTTGCTGCAGCTGGCGTTGCTGTTGCTGCTGCTGCTGTTGCTGCTGTGCCTGCAGCAGCTTGGGGAGTCCCCCGAGGCCGCTTCGGGACCTCTTCAGGCCTCTCAGATGCCCGCCGCCGCCGTTGCTGCTGCTGCTGCTGCAGCCGCTGCTGCTCAGCAGCAAAGGCTCTGATCACTCTGCTTCTGGAGACGCTGCTGCTGCTGCTGCTGCTGCTGCTGATGCTCTGTGAACTCGCACGCATTCGCCTGGATTCCCCTCCTGCTGCATCACGTAGGGCCCGGGCAGTCATAGTAGCAGTAGCAGGTGCTGCAGCAGCAGGCGCTGCAGCAGAAGGTGCAGCAGCAGCAGCTGCAGGTGATGCTGCAGCAGCAGGTGCCGCAGCAGCAGCAGCAGGTGTTGGGAAGCTGCTGCTGGCGTTAGCAAGCAAAGCCTCGGGCTCCCCCTCAGTTTCTTCTGCAGCAGCAGCACTGGATATCTCCTCGCCTTCCGTTGTTTGCTGCTCGTCATGCTGCTGCTGCTGCTGCTGCTGCAGCTGCTCGTAGAGGAACAGTGGCGAGCGGATCTCCTGCTGCTGCTGCAGCAGTTGCCCGTGCAGCAGCAGGGGAGACAGCTGCTGGTGGGCGCGCGAGCGTGGTGACAGCTGCTGCTGCTGCTGCTGCTGCTGATCTTCTCCCGGCGTCCCTGCTGCCTTCTGCGCAGCCCGCGCTGCAGCAGCTTCAGCAGCAGCAGCAGCAGGCGAAGCAGCAGCAGCAGCAGCAGCAGCAGGCAAAGGACTCCTGCTACGGCGGTGTCTCGCGCTCCTGCGGCCCCCAGAAGCAGCCACAGACTGCAGCAGCAAAGGGCCCCCCTCGCCCCCGTAGCACTGCTTCCTGAGGGCCCGCAGGTCGAAGCTGCTGCTGCTGCTGCTGCTGGCCAGTCCCAGGGGAGTGCTGCTGCTGCTGCTGCTGTTGCTGTTGCTGCTGGTGGCTCTGGTGGCTTTTGGCTGCGCTGCTGCGCTTTCCGGAGCAGGCGTGGGCGCAGCAGCAGCGCCTCCACGCTCTTCTGTTGCCTCCGCTGGCGTTGCTGCTGCTGCTGCTGCTGCTGGGGTTCCTGCTGCTGCCGGCTTCTGCAGGTCACCCTCTCCAGGTGTACCGACAGCAGCAGCAGCAGCAGCAGCAGCAGAAGGCTGCGCTCGCGTCCAGTGTAGTGACGAGCTTGCCGTGGGTGGCCTTCCCGGGCGTTTCGTTTGCTGCTGCTGCTGCTGCTGCTGCGGCTGCTGCTGCTGCGGCTGCTGCTGCTGAGAGCTGAGCCAAAAGCGGCGAGCAGCAGCAGCAGCAGCAGAAGAGGAGGCAGCAGCACCTGTGCGGCGGCGCTTGCCATGTGTCCCTTCCCTTTGGCTGGGAGCCTCTCTTACTCGCGGCGCCTCACTGCTCCTTGCTGCAGCAGCAGCAGCAGCAGCAGGGGTTGCTGCTGCTGCTGCGCCTTGCGCCTCCCCTTCAGGTTCGACAGCTGCGTCTCGCGGCGACGCTGCTTCAGGTGCGCGATCTGCTGCAGCTGCTGGTGCGTTCTGCGCTGCTGCTGCTGCTGCTGCTGCTGCTGCCGCTTCGTCTGCTGCTGCTGCTGCTGCTGGCGCTGCTGCCGCTGCATTCTCCGCCGCCCATCTGGCAGCAAAAGTGGCCTCTGGATTTGCTGCTGCCTCAGAGGGCGTGCTCAGGAGGTTGCGCTGGCTGCTGCTGCTGAGGGGCGAGGGCCGGTCTGCTGCTGCTGCTGCTGCTGCTGCGTCTGCTGCTGAGGCCCGCGGCGACAGCAGCAGCAACGGAGAAGAAAAAGTCGAAGGCAAAAATGAATGCCGACGAGTTGTTCGGCTTTCGGGGCTTTTGGAGGCGAGGCCTTCTTCGCTCCAGTGTACAGACACTCCACCCGGCCCTGCTGCTGCTGCTGCTGCTGCTTCTGCTGCTGCTGCTTCTGCTGCTTCTGCTGCTGCATCTGCGGCTGGCGGCGGCGCCGCTACGGCTGCCGCTGCAGCCTCCGGGACAGAAGAAGCCGCTGCAGCTTCCGCCGCTGCTGCCGCCGCTTCCTCTGCTGCTGCTGCTGCTGCTCCCTCTCCTGCTGCTGCTGCTGCTGCAGCTGCTGCTGCGGGCTGCGGACTTTTGTGTAAAGGGTTGAAGTACATTTTGCTGCTGGCGATTTCTTTAAGCTTCTGGACAGCCCCAGAAGCAGCAAGAAGCTCTCGGGCCCTTTCGAATCCGCTTTTGCTGCTGCTGTTTGCTGCCAGCCCGCTGCCTTTCGCTGCAGCAGCAGCAGCAGCAGCTGCTGCTGCTGCTGCAGCAAAAGGCAGCGGCGTCGGCGGGGGGCCCCCAAGCCCCGGGGGCCCCGCAGGCACAAACCGCTTCCGCTGCTGCTGCTGCTGCTGCTGCTTTGCTGCTGCTCCGTCTTCTTCTGCTGCTCTTTGGCTGTCTTCATTTTCTTTAGCTGAACTTGAAGAAGGAGACAGCAGCACGGGGGGCCCCCCGGGGGGCCCCCCTGGGAGGCCCCCCCGGGGGGCCCCCAGCGGCTCCAGGGGCCCCAAAAGGGGCCCCAAAAGAGCCCCCAGGGGGCCCCCGCTGCTACCAGGGGCCTCTTCGGGGCCCCCGTGGGGCAGCCCAGGCGCTGCTGGCTGCTCTTTGGGTGGCGGCGCAGCGGCTGCTGCAGCAAACGGCATTTTGGGGGAGCCGGAGCTGCAGCAGCAGCAGCAGCAGCAGCGACAGCAGCAGCAGCGGCGCTGGCGCTGGCGCTGCAGCTAGCGCGGAGCAAGGAGAGCGAATCGGAGCGGCGCAGCAGCAGCAGCAGCAGCAACAGCAGCAGCAGCAAGCTGCGGAGTGGAGCAGCGGCGTAGAGGGCCCCACAGGCAGCAAATAAGGGCTAGGGGGCCCCTGGGGGCCCTCAGCATCCTACAAGTTGAATTTGAATTAAAGAATAAAAAAAAGAAATTGAAAAGTCTTGAGGGCCCCAGGAGTGGCTGGAGACGCCAGGGGCGCTGCTGGGGAGAGAAGTGCGGGGCTGCGCTGCAGCAGATTGGAGCTGCTGCTGCTGCTGCTGCTGCTGCTGCTTGAGTCGAAAAAGCGGAAAGAAGCTGCTGCGCTGCTGCAGCAGGGGGCCCCAAAGGCAGGGGCGGCAGGCGGGCTGGGGGTGGTGAGGTGGGAGCCCCAGCGGGCGTGTGGCAGCAGCAGCAGCAGACCCTGCTGCTGCCGCTGCTGCTGCTGCTGTGGCGCATGTGCGGAAGGAAGCGGGGAAACTGCTGCCAAGAAGCCGAGACAAGGAGAATTCGGGGGACAGTTTGAAAGAATTCGTCATTTGGAAGTTTTGTTTTGCATTTAAGCTCCGCTTTCCGCCGTTTTCCCCCGCTTTCCGCCGCAGGCGACGGCCGCAGTCGCGAGCACTGCCATATTCTCTCCAAGATGGGGTCCATTGTGCAGCCCTCGCGTTTCCTGGACGGTGAGAACGAATTAAATTAAGAAAACACTTCATCGGCGCTTTTCGCGGAAACAAAAATGAGGGGGTGTGAGGCGTTCAAGTTGAACTGCGTGCGCGCGCGAGGTGTCTGTACACCTCAGAACTCGACAAGTCTGTGTCTGTTTCCTCCGTTTTTTCCCATTTATTTTATTCTCAGCGGCAGTTCTTGCTCTTTTCGCAATGCTTGTTTCCGCGCTTTCTCTTTATATGTTCGGGGAGCTCTGGAACGTCGCCCAAGACCCGAAGTTCAGCTCTTGGCGCGTCGGCTTCATCTTGCAGAAACTCTTCCCCTTCAAGGTACTCTTTGCTTCCATTTATTTACTTTATTTTCCTCTTTTTATTATTTCCTTTCATTTATTTAATTTATTTTCCTCTTTTGCTGTTATTTGTTTGTTTTCGATTCATATGCTCACCGGAGATTGCCGAGACACGCACTCTACACTTTACTTTGCACTCTGTGCTGCAGTTACTCTTTACCCCCATACACACACCACTACCTGCTGCTTCTGCTGCTACTGCTGCTGCTTTTGCTGCATCTGCTGCTGCTGTTGCTGCTGTTGCTGCTGCTGCTGCTGGCGTGTATATCCACTATCCGTTCCAGTAAAATGCGCAGGTGGGGCTATTGGGATTTGATTTGTTTTAAAATGGATCTTTCGCTGCTTCGGAATTTAAATCGTTATTTTGAATTAAATCTTTTGCTGCTTCCTATTTTAAATCATTTGTTTGAATTAAATCTTTTGCTGCTGCAGAGGACTTTCGACGTTAACTTGACGCACATTTTGCTTTTCACAGTTGCCGTTTTGCTGCTGAGTCTGCGGTGAGTGGAAGCTGCTGCTGCTGTTGCTGCTGCTGCCGTTGCTGCTGCAGCTGCTGCTGCAGCAGCTGCTGCTGTTGCTGCAGCTGCTGCTTTGGGCGGGGTTATTTGGGTTTTATTAATTCGAGCATTCTCGACTTGGGATTTAATTGCTTTCTTGTAGTTAGTTTCCCTGGAGTTTGCTGCTGCTGCTGCTGCTGCTGCTGCTGTGTCTTGTGCTGCTGCTGCTGCAGCCCCGAGCTCCCCCCTGGGTACGAAGAGAGCAGCAGCAGCAGCAGCAGCAGCCGCAGGGCGAGGACACAGCAGCGGGCTGAGCCTGAAGAGACAGCCCCTCCTGCTGCTGCTGCTGCTTCCCAAAAGAGCAGCAAAAAGTAAAAGAGCTGCAGCAAAAGCAGCCAGAGCCGCTGCGGAGCTGCAGACAGAGAGTGCTGCTGCGGCTGTTGCTGGTTGCTGCTACTGCTGCTGCTGTGGTGGATGCAGCGGCAGCTGCAGCAGCAGCAGTGTTGCAGCAACTACTGCTGCGGTCGATGCAGCAGCAGCATTGCGGCAGCGTTTATCGCAGCAGCAAGCGCTGCTGCTGCAGCTGGTTCCTGCTGCTGCTGCTGCTGCTGGAGTTGATGCAGCGGCAGCTGGAGCAGCATCATTTGAGCAGCACCCACTACTGTTTTCACCGCAGCAGCACGTATGCAGCAGCAAGCGCTGCCGCTGCTGCTGCTGCTGCCGCTGCTGCAGTGAATGGATGCGATGAAGAGCAGCAAATAAACTCATTTAGGAATGAAAGTGAATTTGTTTAAAGTAAATAGTAAAGTTAGAGAAGTATTTAATTCCCCCAAGTTCAGCACTCATAGGAGGCCAGCAGCAAGCGCTGTGGGGCCCCTCACTTTGACCTAGTCGCTGCTGCTGCTGCTGCTGCTGCTGCTGCTGTGGCGCTGGACGGTTGCTGCTGCTGGCGTGCAGCTGCTCCGTTCGCTGCTGCTTGCTGCAGCTGCTGCGCATACAGCCGAAACCCCACAGTGCCGCGCATGCAGCACGGCCTCGGGGTGTACGTACACCTCACGCAGCCGCTGCAGCAAACGGCGTTTTGGACTTCTGACAAAACTCTCATTTAAAAAAGAACTCCAAAACTAAACCCTTTCCAAAGAAGCTCCCCAACCGCCCAGCCGCTACACAACAATCCACTCAAAAACCTACAAACGCCCCCAGGGGGCCCCAAGGGGCCCCCAAGGGGCCCCCAACGAAACCCTCAGGGGCCCCAAAGGGGCCCCCAAGGAAACCCCCAGGAGCCGCGAAGGGGCCCCCAAGGAACCCCGCAGGGGCCCCCAAGGGGCCCCCGAGGGGCCCCCAGCAGCAGGCCGAGAGGTCCCCAGCAGCCCTGAGGGGCCCCCAAGGGGACCCATCAGGGGCCCCCAAGAAGGCCCTTAGGGGGGCCCCTGAAGGGGAGAACCTGTGGGGCCTCCTGGGGACCCCCGGGGGGCCCCTTGGTGCGGGCTTTGGGGGCCCCTGGGGGCCCCGGGGGCCCTTCGAATGCTGCAGGTGAGGAGAAAACAGAAGTGAAGAAAGTGAAGAAGAAGTTTTGCTTCGGGAGGGTCTTGAGGTGTACGTACAGCTGGGAGGTGTTCGTACACCTCAGGGGGGCGCGCTGGGGCGCAGGGCAGCCACCCCAAACCCTAAACCCTAAACCCTAAACCCTAAACCCTTCTTCAGCCCTCGCGCTTGGTGGTGTGGGGCCCGCAAAGGCCCATGTCGATGTCCATTGTGAAGTCGTAGTCAATCGTGGGCACCACAGAAGAAATGAACTTCAGCAGCACTATCAACGCCAAGTCCGGCCTGCAGCAGCAGCAGCAGCAGCAGCAGCAGCAGCGACGGTGGTGACGCTGCAGCAGCTGGATTCGCCATAGCTGCAGCAGCAGCAGCGATGGCAGTGTCGTTGCAGCAGGCGGACTCGCCGCGACTGCAGCAGCAGCAGCAGCAGCAAAGCAAAAGCTGCCGCTGCAGCAGCAGCAAGCCCTCCAGCAGCAGCAGCAGCAGCAGCAGCACGGAAGCAACTATGGGAGTGCCCTCTGGGGTGTACAGACACCTAAACCGCGCAGCTTGAGGAGCAAAAGGCGAAAGCGAATTAAAAAGAAAAGAAATTAAAAAAGATACGGATAAACAATTTAAATAAACAATTACAAATAAAAGAATAATAAATATTTATTTAAAAAGATAATTCGAAAATATAAATCCAAAAAGTCCCACCGAGGCTCAACTCCCTGAGACCTCCAGTGGTCCACGACCTTCTTCATCACCTGGGCGTGCCTGCACGCAAACCCTAAACCCTAAACCCTAAACCCTAAACCCTAAACCCTAGGGCCCTCTAAACCCTTCTCCAGCCCTATCCGCCACCTGCTGCACGTCGCGCGCAGCCGCGAGCAGCCGCCGCCGCGCCCCCACCCAAACCCCAAACCCCAAACCCCAAACCCTAAACCCTAAACCCTAAACCCTCACTTGCAGGGGTGAATCGAGGCCGTGGGAACCCCCGTGCAGGGGTGAGGGTCTACAGTGACGGTCTTAGCCGCATAATCGGTCAAAATGTCTTCGAAGATCTCCACGGGGGTTAAGGGGGTTCCACTCTGCTGCAGCAAACCCTAAACCCTAAGCCTCCCTAAACCCTCCTGCGGCCCCCTAGGGTTTAGGGTTTAGGGCTTAGGGCTTGGCTTTTAGGGCTTAGGGTTTAGGGTTTGGACGCGGATTCGCCTCCAAATGAACACTCCTAATGCCCCCCTATAGGGTTTAGGGTTTAGGGTCTAGGGTTTCTAGTTTAAAGAATCTAACTCTATTAATCCAACCTGCCAACTTTAAACCCTAAACCCTAAACCCTAGCCTCCACCTCCACGCCGCTGCTTACCGTGCTGGCCTCCCTCTACGGTCCCTGCGCCCTACGCCTGCTGGCTCATCATAGGGTTTAGGGTTTAGGGTTTTGGGTTTAAGGGTTTAGGGTTTAAGCGTTTAGGGTTTACTTCGTTGTAGCCAAAAAGCCAGAGCCTGGGGGTTTGAAAGTACTTGTCGTAGGTAATGCTCAAGTCGTATGTCCTTACGCTCAGCTCATTAATAAAAGGTGACTTCAAATATTTTTATTTGTCTTCGTTTCCCTAAACCCTAAACCCTAAACCCTAAACCCTAACCACAAACCCTAAACCCTAACCCTAAGCTCTCCTTACCCGCATCGGGAGCGTTGCGAACGAAATAAGAAGTTGAAGAATCCGCACACGCCGGATCGTCCTGCATTCCAAAGCCCTAAACCCTAAACCCTAAACCCTAAAACCGTAAACCCTAAAACCCTAAACGCTAAACCCTAAACCCTTAATCCCGGAATGTCCCTGACATGGAAACACAACGCTGAATAAGAGCAGCGCCCAGAACAAAGACACTAGACGCAGTTACGGTTTAGGGCTTACGGATTAGGGTTTAGGGTTTAGGGTTTAGGAGGGCCTGAGTAAAAACTTGCCTCGCAAAGAAGACTGTCGAGGTCCCGCAGGTTCTTTAAGTCAGGCAAAGCTCCGCCCTGCAGCCCACAAACCCTAAACCCTAAACCCTAAACCCTAAACCCTAAGCCCTAAGCCCTAAACCCTAAACCCTCTACTAGACCCTTTAAATCCTCAGCGCCAAAAGCCCTAAACCCTCAGCCGCGCTTACTGATGTGTCACGTAGCGAAGACCCGGAGCCGCCTAAACAAAACCCTAAACCTTAAACCCTAAACCCTAAACCCTAAACCCTAGACCCATGAACCCTAAACCCTGAAGCTCCTAATCCTGCCCTTAAGCTC